TTGGTGGTAGAGCTGGCACTAGAACCCCAGCCTCTTGATCCCTATACCAGTCTTCTCCCCACCACACCAGGATGCCTTGGGGAAAGTGAAAAGTTCCATGCAGAACCAATGCAGGGTATTATTTTATTTTCATCACCAGAAGAACCTGGTGTGAAATCATTATAACAATACAAGCCCCTCTGGTCAAATACATCATAATAACCAGCCATGGGGACACTCCATGGACAGCATCCAGAGGCGCTACCTTTGGAATTGATGCCGAGGCATTTCGGAGACCCTGTCTCTGTTCCCCAAGCTTGCCAACATCACTACTGTTAATAATACAATAATTCAACCTGGCCATCGTTTCAGACCATCAAATCTAGCGACAGCAAGCTATGTGACCCAGCAGGAAAGCCACATAAACACACAAATACATATCCCCAAAAGGAATTTACCAAGTGGAAATGAAGAGAGCTAGCTTCCCCGGGTCTGCCTCTTTCAATTTGGCTGGAGCCTTCAAGACACAATTAAATAGGCACAGGTTAAGAGCCTACTATGTGCAAGGCACTGGAGACAAAGACAGAAACACAAACAGTTCTTGTTTTCAAGGAGCCTCCATGTTACTGTAAATTAAGTAATTCAAAACTAAGTAACTTTAAGAGGAAGAGAGGGCTGAGGACTGGATGGAATAAGAAGAGATTATGTAGGAGATGGCACCTGAACTATGAAGAAGCAGAGACAGAGATGAGGCAGGAGAATGAGCAGAGAATCCTTTAAATCGGAAGCTGCAAGGGATCTCACAGGCCACCTTGTCCAAACTCCTTATCTGATAGAGGAGGAAATTGAGACCCATGAAAGTCAAGTGACATGTCCAAGGTCACACTCACCTCTGACCTTAAACGCATTGTTCTTTCTTCTGTACCAGTCCAGGCCTGGGGATCACCTATGCAAAGAATCAAAGAGGATTCAGGCAGAGTGCTGTGTAAGGGAACAGCTGGCAGGCAAGTCTCACCGGATTAGAGACAGGGTGAAGAAGAGAGAAATGAATGAGGCTGGGAAAGTAGGTGGAAACCAGATTGTTAATTATAAAATGAGAGAGGAAGGGCAGGTGGGAGATTTAAATGACAGGCTGAGGAATCTCTTTTTTATCCTGAAGGCATCTGGGAGCTGTGGAAGGTTTGGGAGGAGGAGAGCGACACGGTCAAACCTATGTCAAAAGGACCATTTTGATCCAATTCAACAGGCATTTATTAAGTGTCTACTATGTGCAAGGCCCTGAGTTGGCCATCCATCTCTGATTTAGGATGAAGTCAGTCCATGGGGTCTCTGGATGCAGCAAATCAGAGAAATTGTCCCTAATGATTTCTACTAGCAGATGATCAAGTAAAATTTTGCAGCTGTCACTAACTAGCTACACAACTGACTACCAGCATCCAGCTGTGTGTGCCCTTGCTTTTGGCCCTGTGCCTCAGTTTACCCAAATGTAAAACAAGGGGTTTGGGCTTGATTAGATCTAAGGTTCCATCCAGCTCTGGCATGGTATGATGACATAATCCATATCTGCCTTGTATTGTTCCCATTTTCATGGGCCAGAGTGGAATAGTGTACAGAAAGCTGATTTCAGAAACAGTAAGACCTGGGTTCGAGTACCATCTCTTATACACATTGGTTTTGTGACCCTGAGCAAATCACTCTCAGTACTCTAGGCTACTCTCTAAGGTTATATGTTCAATTCAATTCAATAAACATCTATTAGGCACCTACTATGTACTATGCACAGTGCTAAGCGCTGTGAAAAAGACAGATAATCCTTGCCTTCAAGGAGCTTACAATCTAAAGGGGGAAGACAACACACAAAAGGAATATATATGATGTGGAGAAGGCACAGATCTGCACTAGTAGAAGATGCTTCCTCACTTGGGAGTTCCAGGGAACCTGTGACCTCGAGGCCACATGTAGCCTGAATCAGCGATTTGTTCTATGAAGTTTGGGTTCAGTCAAAGGGCTGAACTTGAGGACCTGGAGGGCTACATGTGGCCTCAAGGCCACAGGTGAAATCACAGGTCTAGTACTTATTCTTCTTGGGTGTGAACCTATTGCTACAATGCTAATAGAAGCAGCTAAAAAGTCATTATAGCACATTAGAGAATCAGTCAGTCAACAGGCATTTATGGAGAATCTTCTATGTGCCAAGGCACTATGCTAAACTATGGATACAAAGAAAGGCAAAAAGTGTCTTTACTTTGAAGGAGCTCAGTCTAATAATGGGCTTTAGGCTTTGCAAAGTGCTTGACACGTATGTTTGTGGGATCTCATTTGAGCCTCACAATCACCCACAGCTGTCCTTATCCCCATCTTACAAATGAGGGAGACTGAGCCTCAGACTGAGGAGGTTTAGGAACATGCTTGTTCATAGCCACACAGCTGGTAAGTGTCAGAAGGGGAGGGGAGTGAGGAAGTCTTCCTGACTCCAAATCCGGCATCCATCCAGCTATCCAAGAACTCACAGCCTAGCTAGGGAGCCCAAACTAGGAAATCATATGAACTGCTATGAAAGAAAGCCAGGCAGGACAGAATCAGGGACTAGAGAGAGTGGGTGGTTCAGCCTCTTAGGCATTCAGAGAAGGGAGAAGGCGAGAATTGCAAAGTTGGAAGGGACCTCAGATCACCTAGTCCATCCTCCCACTCCTCAAGTCCATTCTCCCACTCCTTTATGTTGTTGGTGACAGCGAGTTATGTAGCTTCTGATGGAAAACTTGTAGTAGCCTGGAGCAACAGACAGTTCTTTTTTTCCTTTTCCAGGAAACCATTCCAGTACTGGACAGCTCCAATCATTGGCCAGGCCTTCCCATACAAAGTGAGCTGGAGTGTACTTCCCTCTAAATTCTCCCCCTGGTACTGTGCCCTCAAGGCTGCCAGAACAACATCTAATCCCCACTTCTATGAGAGGGCCTTCAAATATTTGAAGGCAGGTGTGTTCTTCCTTTGTTTGCTTTTCTCCAGGATGAATAACCTCAGTTCCCTCAACTGTTTGTACAAATCATGGTCAACCACAGAAGGCTTCCTTGAAGAGGTGGGACCTAGGTGAAGCACTGAAGGACAGTTAAGATTGGCTTCTCCTTGACAGAAATGATAGTTCTACAAATCACAGGAAGGGGAAAAGGGTAGGAGTTGGAGAGGGAAACTTCACCAAGCTTTCTCCAACCAATTAAAGCTTTCAGGACTCAGAAGGGCTAAGGTTCTAGTGAGGATGGGGAAGGGGGAAAGGGCATTTCTAGAGACTCAGGATGAAAAAGGGTTAATTGATAAAGAAATGAACATTAGACCATATGGATAAATTTAAGAATATTTTAGAAAAGTCCTGTAATAAGCAATGAGAGAGCCCTGTAATAGACCAGATATTTTTTATAGAATCATGAAACTTTACTGTTGCAAGGAACAGCAAAGCCCGTCTAGAACAGTCTCCCTCCCTACAACAAACATACCCATTTTAAACTAAAGGAAACCAAGGCCTAGGAGCTTAAATGGTTTGCTGGATGTTCTGAATACAGATCTGTTCAGTCCAAGTCAGGAAAGAGCCCTTTCCACTACCTGGGTAAACTGGGTGATTCTTACAACCGCCTAATGTGAGCTGCCTGTTGGCTACCCAGAAATCACCCTCCCTCCACTCCTCCTCTCTGTAACTCAGCACAGACTCCCACAGCTGCTGACTGCATCCTCCTGCGTCAGAGTCTTAAATAGGGTGGGAAGAAACTGAGGCAGGCAAAAGTGACCCAGGCAGCTTTCCTCCCACCACTGCCACCACCACTTTCTAGAAGATGAATTAGTCAGCTTTCCACCCACTGTAACATGACTGATACCGTCAGCTCCTCAAACCCAAGCTTGCTGCTCAGAGAGTACAAATGGACCAGGGCAGCCCTGCCATCCATTCTGAGCTCCCCCAGGGTCCACCTCTCACAGGTCTCTCTGCCTCTATGACATCTAGAGCCTTAATACACCTGGTTGGTTCCTGAAGGCTACTAGGTTATTGGAGTTCTAACTGTGGTCTTAAATGTGGCTTTTATTGAGATTTACTCCCTTCCTCCTGGGTTACTCTTTCTGGGGGTTGGAACACATAGGAATAAGTAAGCCTTTGTCACTGCCACCTCAAACCTGACTCACACCTGTGAGTGATGCTGGGCCCCCTAAAGTGTTACTTTTTGGGCCAGACAATACAATGAGGGTCTAGCTGTCCCAGTCTGCTGCCCACCTGTCCTCGGACACTCTGTGTTTTTGAAAGCTCCCCTACCTCTAAAATCGACTATCTCCCTCTTCCTAGTCTGAAGTGCTAAGTAGCCGCTTGCCCCAGACCAGACCTTTTCCCAATCTGAGCCAGGAGAAGCAAGGACCTGTTCGAGGAAATGCCTACACTTTGGGGGCTGGGAGTGGAACTACTCCCATCGCTATCCCTGGCCCTCTGGCCTTCTTTAAGCTTGGTAACAACTCCACGGCCCCAGCGTCCGTTCTCTCACTGCCCACCAGGGCCCAAAGGCAGGAGTTGGATCTAGAATGTCAACCCAACCAAAGCCTAACTCAGCTCCCAAGGTCCAGGCCCCTTCCTCCCTCCCCGGCTGCCCCATTGTCCACCTAGCCCTGCAGGCAGGGTGAGGAGGGGGCGGGGTTCCCACTCCTCATCTTCCCTCCCCATCCCCAGGAAGTCGATTCTGCCTTCCAGTCGTTCAGCCAGGGTGGCCCTGTAAGACAGGCATCGGCACAAAGGAGGTCTAGGGGGTTTGTGACACTCGGGAGACGTACAGACACAGGGAGCCCCGCACAGAGGCGCGCGTGTACACACACACACACACACACACACACACGGAGATAACACCGGGCTAGAGGCTGGGCGGGGATCGCGAGCTCGCTCGCCAGCTGGCCCAGCGCTGGCCCGCGTCACGGTCCGAGAGTCCCAGGGTCCCAGTTAGTCCCCACCCCCACCCTCCACCCGCCCCACTCCGGTCCCGGGAGGGATCCCTTCTCACCAGCTGCAGGCAGCAGAAGCCGACCAGCGTGCACCTCCCGTTACACTTGCTCATGGCTCCAGTGGGACCGGCCGCCGCGGCGCTGCCCCCTTGGCTGTTACTGCTGCCGCCGCCCCGACTCCGGCTCCGACTCGGGCTCCGAGTGCGCTGCGCTCTGGCTCGGCTCCGCACCCCGAGCTGGCTGGAAGGCGAGAAACAGGGAGCCAGAGAGAGTCCTCCTCCAATTCCTTCTTCTCTTCCTCCTTCTCCTCCTCCGCGTCCTCCCCGCGCCCGCGCCCCGAGCTTCCAGCAGGGCGGCCGGGGCTCCCCTAAGGCTGGGGCCGCGGCATCCCCCGGGCGCGGCGCGGGCTCGGGCGGCTCCGCTCAGTCTCCATGCCCTGCGTTGGGGGCGCTGGGCACCGGGGCGTACAGCCCGAGCCGGGGCTCTTTTGTTTGACCCGCTGTCCGCCAGCAGAGCCTCATGCCCCCAGAGGCGGGCGGGAGGGCGGCAGCGGGAGCGGAGAGCTGGGAGCCTAGCGGACCAGAGCCGAGAGGAGCGGAGCCGAACGGAGCGGAGCAGAGCCCAGCCCAGCTGGGGCAGGATCCCGAGCAGTCTGCAACCGCCCTGGCCCTACCACGTGGCTTCGCGGCCCGGAGAGGGGCGGGGCCCGGGGACGGACTAGTGATAGTGGGGAGGGGGAGAAACAGAAGGAGGGCGTGAGAGGAGAGAGAGGAAGAAGAGAGAATAGACTTGGGGAGGCTGGCTGCAGGCTAGGATAGTAACAGAGCCTGGGAGACCCGAGCAAAAGGGGCAAGAGGAGGGAGAAGGGAAGAGGACCAATAAAACGGCAGGGGATAGGCCTCAGTTTCCTCATCCGTAAAAATGAGCGGGTCGGACCAGATGATCTCTCGGTTTCTTTCCAGAGCTAAATCCCAGGAACCTATTTAATTAGGTACAGGAAAAACGGGGAGGGAGGGAAGGAGAGGGGGAAGAGAAAGGCAGACAAAGAAGAAAACTTGCCGAATGGGGAAGACTGGGAAGAACAAGGGAGAGAGGGAGGGGCTGAACTTTATCTCCATGGGTTAACTGGGCCTGGGAGCAAGGTCGAGGAAGACTCCAGCTTATGGCATCTCCGCTAAGCTCTCCCTCCTTCCGAACACACACTGGCACCCCATCTCCCTCGAGGTGGTCAGGGTGAGCCCAGGGCAGAAGCTGTATTCTACGAAGCCTAGACAGGGCGAAAAGATAAGGGTTGGAGGTGAAAACCTCACCAAACCTGGGCCACCACTCGAAGCTGCCAGGACCCAGAAAGGAGGGAGTGGGCGGTAGCGAACGAAGGACCCCTCACCTTTGGGCAAGAACTAAAGGGTCTCCCTGGAGTCAGCACCTCAACGTCCTTTATCCCTATAGCACCTGTCACGAAAAGGCCTGGGATGCTTTCCCCCAAAACTCCCTCCTCCATTGTCGGATTGCAGTTCCCTAAAATCCAACCACTTTCTGCCCTGAGCGCCGAGGGCAGAACACAAGCTCCAGAAGCGGGGCACGGTTTTGGTTTTGTTTTTGTCTTTGCACACCCAGCACCCAACGACACAATGACCCGCCAGCACTAGGTGCTTCAGCCGAGCTTGGTGAATTGAAATTCATCTTTGCTTTCTCCAGGTTATGCTTTGAAACTGCCACCCCTTGGGGGCAGCAAGAATACAGCACAAACCAGCTGAAAGGCAAGCCACCCTCCAAGGCACTCTTCTGGGCACCTGGTACCTCAACCGTTTCCTCTCTTGAGTTGAAACTTCCAGTTCTCCTCCTTCCAACCTGGTCTGAAATTCGCCTGGCTATCCTGGCGAGGTCAGGCGTGAATGCTCACTTTCATACACTAGTACAGGGGTTCTTAACCTTTTGAGGGAGTCTCGGACTTCTTGGGCAGTCTGGTGGAGCCTATTGACCTCACATCAGAATAATGTTTTAAAATACATAAAATTAAAAAGGAAACATTATGTTGAAATATTTATCAAAACACATTTTTTTAAAAAAAATCTTGACTCCCAGGTTGAGAACTTGGTCTAGTCCAATGTAGAAAATACAGAATTGAAAAATACATACCTTTACTGGAGAAGGTAAGAAGAAAGAGAAAACATACTAACTTCAAAGCTTAGGTCAATGTGACAAAAGGCTTCTAGTTGTTATTGTCAAAACCCAAGTCTGACCCGACTAGGTTCACCCTCCTTCATCTCCCCTCTCTCCTAGCCACTGAAAGTGTTTTTTTCACTTCTTCCCCCCTTCCTGACCCCTTAATGGGTAGAAGGGAACAATAGGTCTGTCTCAGTAAAGATCCCTAAGGCTAAAGAGTCTGATCCCTCTCTGAAGAGCCAATTTACAACTCAAAGGTTGTGACTACCCCCATCCAAATCCTCCTGGTGGAATGAATGAATACACAGTAGACTCTCAGAGAAGGTACAACAAAGAAAAATAATTTCTTGACCTATCTTGCTCCTTGGAGCCTAAACCCCTGCTCTCGATCCATGAGCGTTTGTTAAGCTCCTACTATGTGCTGGGCCCTGGGAATACAGTCAAAAATGAAACTCTCTACCCTTGAGAAGTCCACTTCTGTGAAGGACACAGCATTTGCATATACAAATTTATGCACCAAGGAATGGAGACTAGACTTGTGATTTCTTCACTGGCATGGGAAAGAAACTCAGGTTACTTCTCAGGTGCTTTCTAAGCGTTTTAAGGGCTTGGAGAGTAAGTGGTCTAGATCTAGAACTTTGAGAGGTTAAGTGACTTTGTCTAGGTTACCTGTCAAAGACAGGACTTGAACCTAGGTCTTCCTGGCTCTGAGGACAACTCTCTAACCCTTACCTCAAGGAGTTTCTATTCTACTAGAGGAAATCAGCAGGTGACCAGATGTCAATGCAAAATATATTTTACTGGTTTAGGGAACTCCAATACAAGCTGGCAGCTTGTAGTATTAAGACTGTTGCTTGTGATCACTAAAGAAGTTAAGTGAATTGTTCAGGGTCACACAGCCAATAGGTATCAGAGGTGGGACATGAACCCAGGTCACGTCTCTATCCAACATGATATAAAAATATATTCAAAGCAAATACACAGTAATACAGGGAGGGCAAGGGAGAGGAGAGGAGGGGAGGACAGGGAGGAAAACACTAACAACTATGTATAGAAGTAAAGGTCTCAATAGGAGGCAGCCCTTGAGTTGAGACTTGAAAGAAAATAGAGATTCCAAGAGGTGATTTGTGGAGGAAGAGTATTCCAGGCATGAAGGACAGCTGCTGCAAAATCGGGGAGTGGGGAGATGGCATGTCCTTGCAGGGGAGGAGCAAGCAGGCCAGCTGAGCTGGTTCTTACAGTGGGTGAGGGGGAATCATAGACAATCAGCCTAGAAAAATAGGTCCTCTCCACTGAATAGCCTTCATTACTGGTGCCACTCATCATGATCACTAGCAGTGACTCTGTGTGTGTGTGTGCATGCTAGGCACTTTAGGGTGCTACCAAGAAGCACCCCAGAGTCTTGACGGGGACAGGAAAGATAAACCATTCTATGCTACCTACATTGAAATGATACAGATGATGAATGTGAAGGCAGGGATGTCTCTGTGTGTAAAATAGAGGCACCAGAGCCACTGAATACCTAAGACCACTTACCTACCACAATTATTGGTGATACTTTACAATCCATCCAGCTATCTCCCCTAACCATCTTGCCATATGCCCTGCTGATGCGCTGCTCTGCTTTTCCCCTCCTAAAATATTTGTTTTTATTTTTTTATTTTTAGGCAGTTGGGGTTAAGTGACTTGCCCAGGGTCACACAGTTAGTGTCAAGTGTTTGGTCTGAGGCCAGATTTGAACTCAGGTCGTCCTGACTTCAGGGCCAGTGCTCTATCCACTGGGCAACCTAGCTGTGCCTTCCCCTCCTAAAATAGCAGGCTTCTCTAACTAAATGTCCAAAACAAGCCCCCAGTTTCTGGGGACTCAGCTTTGGGAGCCCTGTCCTAGGGATGAGTTGTCTTGATGGGTCAGTGAGGGATTAGCCAAACTCAGGCTTGACCATGCTTCCCCTCCTAGTCAGCTGTCTATCCTAGCCACCATCTTATCAGTTTTCAATCTTGCTCTGGGCACAGTAATCAGTGCTTCTGGAAAAGGTATGTTGGTTGACTGCCTCATGGACTAACTTGCCATCCCTGTGACATCAGAACAAAACTTCCTTCCCTAGCTTCCACCACTTACTCTATATTTGTTTCCCTCTGATTTGAATGAAAATATCTTGGGGGCAGGCTTGTTGATTTTGTATTTATTTCTACCCTTAACACTGTGCCCCTTGTGGTTAGTGCTTAATAAATGCTGTTCTATTCATTCATTCATTCATTTATTCCTTCTCTTTAGACCACTCCTACCCAGTAAATTGTCCCTTTTCTTCCTCTCTCCTTTTCCTTTATCTTCCCCCTTTGCCTTCTTAACCATTTTCCTTTTCAATGGTTTTCTTCACTCTGGGACTGGCATTCCCACTTTTCTCATAGTTCTTCCTCTTTTCCTCTTTTCTCACTAATCCCTTCCTTTTCTTTCTCCTTCCTTTTCCTTCCTCCTTACTTGTGTATTAAACCAAGCCCTCAAAGCTACAAAAGTGTAAATGATGGCTTTGCAATTCAGATGAAGAACCGACCTGAGCAACTGGGGGTATATAGATGCTACTAGGCTCTGTGTACAGCAATTCCCTTTCATAAAATCAAAACTGGAATTTAACACCATTCGACAAACATTTATTAAGCACTTATGTGCCTAGCCTTGTGCTAAGCATTGGGAATGCAAAGACAAAATTGAAAGTCTCTGACTTTAAGGAATTTGCATTATGCTAGATCTAGTCACTTACTTGAAGTAGGAATAATAATATCACTTATACAGCCCTTTAAGGTTTACAAAGCTCTTTATGAATATTATCTCATTTGATCCTTAAAACAACTCTGGGAAGCAGGTGCTATATTATCTCCATTTTATATATGTGGAAACTGAGGCAGACAGAAATGAAGTGATTTGCCCAAGGTCACACAGCTAGTAACTGTGAGGCAGATTTGAACTCAGTTCTTCCTGAATCTGAGTCCAATACTCAATACACAGCTCCACTTAACTGTAAGGAACTTTTTCTCTATTCAGTGCACCTTCTGAGCCACCTTCCAGATGACAGCTACTACCCTCAGCTTCAAGAGTATCTTCTGTGGGGTCATATTCCTAAAACTATACTCATTAGCCCCCTTTGGTGAGTTTACCTTTAATAGTCAGCCAATAGACACAATTAGCTCAAAATAAAGATATTAATTGGGGAATCCAGGTGGCACAAAGGATAGAGCATTGGTCTTGGAGTCAGGAAAACTCCTCTTTATGTGTTCCAATCTAGCCTCAGAGTCATTAACTGTTTCACCCTGGGCAAGTCACTTAACCCTCTTTGCCTCACTTCCTCATCTGTAAAATGAGCTGGAGAAGGAAATGGCAAATCACCTTTGCCAAGATGTCCAAATGGGGTCATAAAGAGTTGGGAATGACTGAACAACACCAACAGAGGCA